TTCTTCAACAACGGTTTCTATAAGGGCTCCTTTCGGCATTGGGTTGTTGCAAGGATTGAATCGCAGAGTAATGATTTTTTCCTGGATATCAATCAAACAGCAGGGCCATCAACACACTTGTAATAGTGCTGCTAGAGGGCACCGCAAGAGTCAAGCAGGGCATTTGGGATGTTCGGAGTCGTATCCTAAACATGATTGTAATTTCCTGGAGCCTTCGACATCGACATCGACAATCGCTCAGGGTCCAGGTATTCATGTAGTATACATATTTTGGCAATAAAGTAATCAGCATACGGTTTCTTTAGGGCCCAAGCCCTAGGCCCTAAACCCTAAGCCGTAAGCCCTAAACCCGAAACCCTAAACCGGGTTTAGGGTTTAGGGTTTTTTCTCCAGGTGAGAACCTGGGACCCTCAAGGAATGCGGAGCGCAGTGCCTTCTGGCTCTTCACCTCTCAGCAAGTAGTCGTCAGGAGAGCTTCGTTTTTCCTCTTCTTTTTTTCTGCAGCGTTTGGGGTTTTAGGCAGTTCTTTTTTTTTTTGGGGGGGGTTTGGGGGGTTTGTATATATAGGGTGTAAGGAATCGAAGTGTAGGGTTGGTAGCTGGAGCTCCGGGCAAACAGGGATCTGAAGAAAGTTCCGGATCTAAGGCTCAGGCAGGTTAACAGGTACCATAAAGGGGGCTTTTTTCGGGTACCATCAGGTATTTAGGGCTTAAATGGGGCCTTTTCGGGTACTATGAGGTGTTTAGGGCTTGCTCAAATATTCTCTTGCCCGGTGCCATGGCTACATCTCTGGAGCGTTACGGCAGATCGCTGCGGGATGACGTTGAAGCCGCGGGGCATCATTCGACATGAGAGTACGTGTAAAGCTGTCGGAGACCCTATAAACGCTGTATACCCTCAGTCCGTTCAGGGTTTAGGGTTTAGGGTTGAAGGGTTGAAGTTATTTTTTTAAAGCTTCAGCAAATTCGAGGACACTGCGATGCTCTTTCCCATGTACACCGTCGCGGCAGGCACGCTACTGCGGATGACGCAGGTCGATGCACATGAGGACATGAAGGTGGGACCCCCCTTCCTATTCGGGGCTCGGGCTTTGGGACTTGTCTTTTCGGATTTGGGCCATGCTGGCTACGATGCTCAGGGTCGTGCATTTATCGGGGCAGCCCCAGAAATGCCCTGCCGATGCATGGAAGGCGCGGGGCGAGCTGGTGGTCTTCAGCGAAGACTTGGGGAGAGCGACTTTCATTTCGCACCAGTGGCTATCCAAAACCCATCCGGACCCCGACTTTCGGCAGATGCCAATCTTACAGAAAGCTCTGAAGCGGCTGCTGAGTGGCGCTGGGTCAGTGCCACTGGATCCGGTGACGGAAAGCTTTGTGCGAACAGCCAAGCCCCTTCCGATGCAGGACTTGCAGAAACAGGCGCTGTTTTTCTGGTACGACTATATCTCATGCCCGCAACTGCAGCGCGACACCCGTGCCAACGATTCCACAGACTGCGGGCAGTCTAGAGCCATCAGCAGCATCCATGCCTACATTGCCAAGTGCTACTTCTTTTTCGCACTTTGTCCAGTCCTCGACTGTCCCTTGCAGGGCAAGGTCGGGTTCCTAAGACCTTTTTCCCCTGGCACCTAACCCTAAACCCTCAACCCTAAACCCCAACCTTAAATTCCCTAAACATCTTAAACCCTTAGCCCAAAAAGGTGCTAACACCAGCGACTTGGAGCAGCAGAGGGTGGTGCCGCCTCGAACGAGCGGCACGCGAACTCTCGTCAAAGAGCACATGGATCCTGATTCAAAGCGAAACCTCCACTGAGATTGCTGGCACCGCGCTGTCGTTTTTGAGCGGCTCTGTGGGAGAAGGCGATTTCGGTAAAGCAGGGGATCGGCAAAAGCTGGCCCCAGTGATGCGGAACATCCTCATGCAGAAGCTGAAGCTCTGTTTACGTGTGGGTGACCTGCCTGGATTCCGACGCCACTTGAACCTTCAAGCAGTTCACTTGCGGGGGCTGGAGACTGAGCCGGTGACCGGCTTGCTTCCCTGCGAGGCGGACGGTGGTGATGATGCAGTGGCACGGTTCCTGCACCAGAACGGCTTGACAGGGGTCGACGAGGCCGACAAGTCGGGGTGGTGGCCGTTGCACTACGCAGCACTGGGTGGTGACAGAGGGGTGCTGCGAGGCCTGCTGGAGAAGCGAGTTGACGTGAACCGACGCACGTCGAAGGATGAGCCGATGTTGGGATTTCCGCTCTGGACCTCATCGCTTGATGTGGCAGTGTTCTACAAACATCACGAGGCCACACAGTTGCTTCTCGCGGCGAGGGCCCATGTCGTGGGCGGTGTCACGCCGGCCCTTCAAGTAGCATCTGTTGCTAACAACTCAGAAGGTATCCGATTGCTGTGTGCAGCAGGCGCGAGGCCAAGAGGCCGTGACGTATTCGGCACAAACGGCTTGGAGGTTGCAGCGGCTTATGGAGCGATGAATGCTTTGGAGGAGCTGGTAATGCAGGCTCGCCCGAGTTCGCTGGAGCTATCAAGGATGCTTTGGGCTTCATGTATTTTTCGGGCTGGATCGGCGGAGCTGGTGCAGAGGTTGATAGATCTGCGAGCTGACGTCAACTTTCAGCTCAATGTGCCGCGCGACTGCAGGCCTCTCGGCCGGCTGTTCTTTGCGGGGAAGTCTTTGCAGCATCGATTCGGCTTGAGAACCGTTCTGACGGCCTATGCCTATCACCTACATGGTAGCACGCCGCTGATGCAGGCTCTCAGATCGGCTCAGTTCGAGGCCGCCGCGGCCCTGATCGCGGCGGGCGCCAGACTGGATCTCCGGAATGCCCGGAATTGGACCGCGGCGGACTTTCTGAAGGGTCAAGCCATGCCGTGCTTCCTGCAGCTGGGCTTGGGAGGGGACGCTGCAGAGTGCCGGAGAGTGGCGTCACTGGCACGAGCTGACGGCTACGTCGAGATCCGTTTCTAGAACTTTTCTCCCAGCAGTTTTAAATCAAGCGTGAGGCAACGGAACATCCGGCTTCGCTCTCAGTTCAGCTTTGTGGTGTCTCGGAAAAGAGCTAATCCAAAGGAGGCAGTGGACCAAGGAAGCCGGAATATCTTAAACTCCACACCGGTAGAGCGGAACATTGCCCCAACTAGGATCGACAAGACTGCCCTAAACCCTAAACCCTAAAGCCCTAAACCCTAAACCCTAAGGCCCTAAAGCCTGAACCCTAAATTACTGCAGCAGAAGCGACTTGGGCAGAGGAGATCTTGGCTAGCAGAGGCTCTTGGGGCTCCAGGGCCGGGTTTCTTTAGGTGTATCTATATCTATATTATATGTACCTGTATATGTATATGTATATGTATATGTATATGTATATGTATATGGATATGTATATGTACACTTTACTGTACATATACATATATATATATACACTTACATATACAAAATATACATACATATATATGCATGTATATCTATAAAACTATAAAACTATATATCTATATATCTATATAGCCATATATATATACATATATATATATAACATATATATATATATATGTGCATGCATGGCAATGCTGGGCCATGATGGTTTTGGGTTTTTAGGGTTTAGGATCCTGCGGTTTTGGTTTCGCTTGGTTTCTGGTGAAACTGCATATGCCAGAACCGGGCTTCTCTAGGCTTTGCGGGTATTTCTAGCTGCTACCACAATTCGAAAGCATGAGCCCTACATCCTACTGTTGATGGTATAAATCCTGCAGTACCTTGAGGACCCTAAACTGTGGGAATTTCGGTATATTTCTTATTATGGGTCATGCAGGATTTATATCATCAACCGTATGTAGGAGCCCTGATAACTGCACGACACTAAGTGACCTGATGCTTGAGGTAACTGAAGACATGGCGGAAACCCTGAATTCTAGACTCTTGACCCGTGTAGCACAAGCACCCCAGCAGGTGGCCTGGCTCCGTGCCGAGGTGGCACGGGCCTCGATTGTAGATGAAGAGAAGAGCATTGAGGCTGTAGGGCTTAGGCGAATCGCGGAGCATTGCCTGGCACCATGCCTCTTGCTGTGGCGCCGCGGTCACGCTACCCCGTTGGCTCAAAGTCGTCGGGGGTTACTAGGGCGGCCATGTCTTCCTGCGTCTCCGGGAAGTCCCGGACACCCTTGGAGACTTATGCCAAGTCGCTGGCCGATGGTGCAGATGCCACTCGGTTTCGTGTAGGAGTCAGAGGCTCCCTAAAACGCAAGGGTTCTGTTGATCGCGTAATCCATTCAGCTTCAAAGCTCTGGTGTGACTTGAACCTAGCCTGCACTTTCGGTGATTATCCTGTGTTGCGGCTTGCCATGGCAGCATGAGTCACAACTGCCAGTTGTGCTGAAGACACTGCTCCGCCCAGTACCCCAGCAGTTGCTTCTGTTATCACTTGTCCATTCAGCCTTTATGGTATGGGTGTGGCACACGTCGTTACCAGGTCATTACTATCACATTCCTGACTCGTCGTCTGCTGCTACGGCTGTTGCTGCTGCCCCACTGCTGCTGCTCTCCTCCTCCTCCTGCCCGTACTACCAGTACTACTTCTACCACGGGGCACCACCGCTACCTCTTCCGCTACCATGATCTACCATGACCACTGCCACTACTGCTACACTGCTGCCACTACCACTACGACTCCACTAACACTAGCATTACCACGATCATTCTCACTACCACGACCACACCACGACCTGGCTACGCTACTTCCACTGGTGCTGCTGGTATGGCTCGTACTACTTCTGCACTACTACTTGCTGGTTTTGGTCATGGTCTTGCTGTCGCCCTCGCAGTCGTCGTGACCGTCGCCGTCGTGCTGGCCCGCTCCGTCACCGTCACCCTTCTAGTCCCCATACGTGCTCGTTGTCATCGTCGCCGGTGTTGTCCTTGTCGCCGTCTTCGTCGTCGTTATCTGCATCAACGTGTTTCTGGTTTGCCGGTTTGCCGCCATCGGGTGACTCAGGCTGCCCCTATGCTCTTCCCCATGTACACCGTCGCTGCAGATGTGCTGCTGCAGATGACGAAAGTGGAGCCGCATGAGAAATTGAAGGCTCTAAACAAAATCGGAATTGAACGTAGAGCTTGTAAAAGCACGTGCTGCAATGGCATCATGTCAATCGCAGCCCTTAAAACAGCAACAAAGATCTTCCTGCATGTTGGACCTAGCTGCTAAACCTAAACCCCATCGTGGTGACTCCCTCAGCCCACGGCTCGAACAGTCCATGCGAGCATCCATATCACAACTGTTCAGTTTCTTTTTTTCACGGCCCTCTTCCATCCTGGATCGAGGCGTGGGGCATGCTCGTGGACTTTCGCGACGACTTGGGGAGAGCGGCTTTTGTCTCACATCAGTGGCTAACGCAACAACACCCAGATCCAGAGTTTCAGCAGTTTCGCGTTCTGCAGGATGCTATAGAGAGGATCTTGAACAGCTCCGGGTCTCTTTCCTTGGACCCGGCCACAGAAGCCGTGGTACCAACGGCCAAGCCCCGTCCTGTGAAAGACTTTCAGACGAAGGCACTGTTCTTCTGGTACGACTATTTCTCTTGTCCGCAACTGCACGATTCGGCACTATTTGTCGATAGAATCACAAGCAGGCAGGAGCAAACCAAGGCCATCAATAGCATCCCAGCATACGTAACCAGGTGTGACTTTTTCCTTGCACTTTGTCCGGTTCTTGATTGCCGCGTCGAGGGCAAGGTGCTCACACCAGCGACCTGGAGCAGCAGAGGGTGGTGTCGCCTAGAACGAGTAGCATGCGAGCTGTCACCAAACAGTACTTGGATTGTCATTCGAAGTGCGACCTCCATTGAAGCTGTTGGCACACTGCTGTCCCTTAGTAGCTGAGTAGGTAGCCTTTAACGTTTTTGGGCTTATATAATCCTACCATAATTGAAAGGTTAACCTTTTTTGGGCTAGGGTACTCAGCCCCTAAGGTCCTTTCAAAGTGGCGCCGTGGGGGAAGGCGACTTCGGTGTCCCGGAAGATCGGAAGAAGCTGGCTCCGGTGATGCGGAAGCTGGGTTCTTGTTAGGGGATTTTATTTAAGTTACCATAATGAGGACCTATAGTAAATCGTATGGTTTCCTTATTATGGTAACTTAAGTTAAGTCCCCTAACAAGAACCCAGGAAGATCCTCATGCAGAAGCTGAACCACTGCCTGCGTGCGGGCGACCTGCCCGGATTCCGGCGCCGTTTCAACCTCCAGACGAACTACTTCCGGGGGCTTTTAATTGAGCCAGTGTTTGGCCTGCTTCCCATTTGTGAGGGTGGTAACGATGTTGCGGCGGAGTTCTTACACCAAAACGGGTTCAGGAGGGTCAATGAGGTTGACGGTGCCGGGTGGCGTCCTCTGCACTACGCAACACTGGCCGGCAACGTAGAGGTACTGCGAGGCCTGCTGGAACAGCGCGCTCAAGTGAACGGGCGCACATGGAAGGATGAGCCGTCGCTGGGCTTTCCTCCTACGATGTCAGCTCTGGATCTGTCGCTGTTCTACAGGCACCACGAGGTCACGCGCTTGCTTCTTGCAGCGAGAGCCCACCTTGTGGGTGGAGTTTCACCGGCTGTGATGCATGCAGCTGGCGGAGACAATGCGGAGGGCATCCGACTGGTGTGTGCGATGGGTGCCGTGCCACTGTCACAGAATCTACTTGGAAACCCCACGTTCGCGACGGCAGCTGCTCTTGCAGCCACAGAAGCCCTGGAAGAGTTGCTGGTGCAGGGACGCCCAAGCTCCATGGATCTTTCTCGGGCACTTTTCGACGCCACAATGTTTCGAGGCGGCTCGGCTGAGCTGGTGCAGCGATTGATTGATCTCCGGGCTGACGTTGACTTCCAGTTGGACTTGCCGCGGGACTGGAGCAGACTGGGCCGGCTGCTCCTTGCAGTGAAGTCCTGGCAACACCGGCGCGGCCGTACCAGTGCACTAACTACTATCGCCTACCACTTGCATTGCAGCACGCCGCTGATGCAGGCCATCAGGTCGGCTCAATTCGATGGCGCCGGCCCTGATCGCTGCCGGCGCCAGACTGGATCTCTGCAATTGCCGGAAGTGGACCGCCGCGGACTTTGCTCGCGGGCAGTCGATCCCACAATTTCTGCAGCTGGGCCTAGAGGGGGACTTGTCAGAGTGCCGAAGGATATCTTTGCTCACTCAATCGACCAGCTGCTTTTCGATTTGACGTGTTTAATTTTTTTATGCAGTGGAGATGTCAGAACCCTCCCGAAAGTGTGAGGGCACAGCTTCATTGTATGGTTAGTGTACTTTCCAGAGCGTGGAATGTGTTGGGGCAAGCATGGATGGATAGCGATGGCTGGGTTCGGGCATGCAGTGATGGTTTGAATAGTACGGGCATGGTACTAAGCTCAACATAGCTGAACCCAGCCGTGACCCTCGGTATCTGGACCTCTCGATCACTGCGTCCGCTACATTTCTGAATCGCAGCCGTACTTAGAACCTGCTGACTAAGCACCTGAGCCCTGAAGTTGCCTTACCCCGCAAACGCAAAGGCGCAATGATCTTCCCAGGGGGATTTGTCGGAGTGCCCAAGGATATCTCTGCTCACTCAAACGACCAGCTGAGATTTGACGTGTTTAATTTTTTTGCAGTGGAGATGTCAGAACCCTCCCGAAAGTGTGAGGGCACAGCTTCATTGTATGGTTAGTGTACTTTCCAGAGCGTGGAATGTGTTGGGGCAAGCATGGATGGGTAGCGCAGTGATGGTTTCAATAGTACGAGCATGGTACTAAGCTCAACATAGCTGAACCCAGCCGTGACCCGTCTGGAACGGTCCAAGAAACCCGACAGTCAAAGAGAACTTCACTTGACAGCTTAGCAAAAGGGGGCAACGTTTATCTGCATGATTCTTATTGTCAGTTTGTAGTACGTTTACTACTATCAAGTAATTTGGTATGACGATTACTTGTCTTCATCATCGCCATTGCTCTTTTTGCCATGACTACAATTACTCTGACGATGACCATTTTGATTTTTGTTTCTGTCATCGTTATCCTGCTACTACGGCTACCGTCGTCGTTCCCGAGTTCCAGCGATGAGTTCTGGGAGCCCAGCATGCGGAAGACTGAGCCAAAATCGTAAACCCCAAACCCTCAACCCTAAGCCCTAAACCCTAAACCCTTAAGTCCTAAACCCGCAACCCTAAACCCTAAACCCTTGTGAGCTTCCCGTGTCTTTTGCACTTCGATTGATGAAGCCGTGTTGACCTCTGCATTCTAGGATCCTTGCATAGGACCACTAGTGCACTTGCTTGTATAGCATCTAGGCGACATGTATTTGACCGCAGACGTCTTGGGCGATGGCAGTACCAGACCGAACGTTTTCCGCATCGTATCTCCAGAACCCGACATTCGTTCCAAATTGGTAGCGGAGCGGTTGGATTACGGCGCGAGTGTTTCACCAGAGTCCTGAGGTAGAGCAGAGTAGAGCCCCTTGCTTTTCCAGGGTAGTTTGGATTGAGCCCATGAGCGTCGTTGGATAGAAATACCAGGCGACCTTGTGGGGTCATAACGCAGCCCCCGCAGAGACAAAGTCAGCACCGGCTCAGCCTATCCTGGTCTAAGACACGGATACACGTGTTGCAACACAAGGGAAGAAGAGGCGACAGGTGATGACGGATATTCCTGGCTCAAGCATTTGCCAGAAGCCAGTCGCCAATGAATTACCTGGCAAAGGCCTGGGCAAAAGCATGCATAGGTTTAGGCTTAGGTCAGAGCAGAACGTTGCAGGAACAGAACGCCCCACCGAGGGAGAGTCAAGCGGCATACTCGCTAGCCGGTCCAGTGCCAGTTGGGCGAGGCCTGCGTCTGCTGAGGAAGACGAGGGTGCAGAGTCGGCACCAAGCCATCCCAGCCAGATAGATGGAGATGGTGACGCTGACGTCGATGATGAAGGGCGAAGCCGACGTGTGCTCCTCGTGCGTGGACTGCCGGCAGCCCTGACAGCTGCCCCTGCATGATTTAAAAACCATGCGTGGCCACGACTTCTTTGCGTCCATCTGGGTTACACCCACAGCTACGCCCTCAATGTGTCTACACAAGGCCGCGAGGAGATGGCCTCCTCCAACAGAACGGTGTCTGTTGCTTTTGCAAACCACATTGAGGCTAATGGCACCCAGCCCGTTATCCAGGGCATCGAGACTAGTGCGCAGGATCTGCAGTGCAAGATGAACTCGGCGTGCTCTGACAAAATCCGTGGGTTGGCCCATGTGGTTTCTCGATCTGCTCGTCGATGGGCCTCTGTCGCACCGCGAGGTCGGCTCCCTTATCGAAGCGGGCATCTGTCAAGTACGTCGAACAAGATGGCCCCCCATCGATTGGGAGATCGCTGCACCGTTACAGCTGAGCTCTCAAGCTGTTCGAAGCACCCAAGGAATGCTTCTGCATCCCAAGCGCTCCTGATACGCTGGATAATCGAGTTGTACTCGTATCCATGCGTAAAGATGTCCACCACCAGCTGGGTCTGGGCCGAGAGCAACTGGAGTTAAATCCAGTGCTGGGTCCATGATGGTCGCAGGAGGCGGCGCGCGCAACTGTCTCCGGGGCTATACCCACGGCAGCAGCTCCTCCATCTCCTGCTGGATGGCCATGAGGCGACGGTGCGCTTCAGCTCGTGCCTTCGACGTGTACATAGAGGGAACCGCTGGCGACAGGGGAGCTCCATTGCGCGTGGCACTGCGTCGGCTTCGGTTTCAGCTTCAGCGCTGCCTTGATCGACGACCATTCAATGCCTGGCATTAAAGGCGAGCCGTCTAGCGAGTTGATCTTGCCTGATAACCGGCTGGTCGTGAGTTGTTATCTTAGCTCCTAACAGCGGGGAGCCACTCGATCTCCTCTGCTGCATGAGCAACTGCAGCTGCGCCCCGAGAATTCAACAACATAGGGGGCGAGGGTATCCTACAGGAATTGATCAATCTAGGTTGTCTGTCCAAACCTAGTCCTTCTGTCAGGTTGATGCACAACAGTCCGCGATCCTGAGTTCGGTACATCTTCACAGGAATCAGGGTGTCGCTAGAGGGTACCCGAACCCCACATTGGTTCGTTCTGAAATCCTTGCTGATCCCCAGCCGGGCCCGGGCATGCAGGGACAACAGCAAGAGGGTGGTGCCCTTGATTTCATGCGACTCCCCATCAAATCCCTTTATGGAGAACGGAATTGTCCTGAAACGCAGGGTCTCAGTTTCCCCACTCAAACCCTTAAAGGTTCGGGACCCCTCCGGGGAAAACCGGGTACTGAATCCGATGCTAGCGAGATTCTGGGCCGCATTGGCAATCCAATCAGTGCCGTGGACTGTGGAGTTACAGCCCTCGTCCAAAACGGCATATACACCAGGATGCGTGTCAGTGACACCCTCTGACATCGACGCAACACACGCGTGCCTCGAGGACCGCGATCTTGCCCCGGACGAAGCTATCTCCCAGGAGGTGTTCGTCG